GAGAGAGGGAGAGAGGGAGGGAGAGGGAGAGAAAGGAGGGTGAAGGGAGAGAGAATGGGAAAGAGAGATGTGGAGAGAGAGAGAGAGAGAGAGAGAGAGAGAGAGAGAGAGGAGATGGCGAGGAGGGAGTGAGGTACGGGTAGGGGGAAGTGGAGATACATGGAGGTAGAGGAGAGAAACATAGAGAGAGAGAGGAGAGGAATGGAGGAGGGGAAAAGATACCTGGAGATATAGCCGAGGAACAGAGAGGTAGGAAGAGAGAGATAGGGATAGAGAGAGAGATAGGGATAGAGACAGAGATAGGGATAGAGAGAGATAGGGATAGAGAGAAATAGGGATAGAGAGAGATAGGGATAGAGAGAGATAGGGATAGAGAGAGATAGGGATAGAGAGAGAGGTGGGAAGAGAGAGAGAGACAGGGGGGGGGTTAAAGGAAGAGAAAGAAAAAGAAAGAAATATCCCCACACATACAGACAAACATACACACACTAAAACACAAGCCTATAACGAAGAGAAGAAGCTAAATTGCCCCCTACACACCTCCTCACAATTCCCCTTTCACTTTCACAACAGTTCCCTGGCCCAAACGACCCGTTCCTTTCACTCTGTAAATCATATTACCTTTCTATTTTTTTGGTTTGGTTTCAGTGAGAATTTTACGGCACTTTGCAACACAATAAGGTCATGTAGGTGCCGAAGATTAGAGGTGTTACAAGAGAGTAACAAACACCAAAAGAGAAGGAGGAGAGATAAGGTCGATAGATGTTTGATGGGAAAGAAGGAGAAAACCACACCAGAGCACCCGTCAACCACCCGCTGTAGATCTTAAGGACAGTGCACACTGTCGATCAAATTCGTTCGATTGGGTCGGAGTCAGACAGTTTGTTCCTTCATGGAGGGGCAAGATCTGTCATTTTGGCTATCCTAATAATGACATTTCTTCGGACACAAAATGCGGAAAGAAGCATTAGAGAATATTGTAACAACAGGAAAGTTTGATGGAAAGAGAGGCAGAGGCAGACAGAGGGAAAAAGATACTGGACAAGATGACAACATGGTTGGGAGCATCAAGAACAACAGACACCATTGCTGCAGCGCAGGACAGGGTGAAGTGGAGGTCCATGATCGCCCACGCCAGTCGGCAAGACACCGGATGATGATGAATACTGACCACAGTTGAACAGAATCACGTCCCAACACACAGACTGATAGATACTCAGAAAAACAAATACACCAACAAGCACACAGACAGATAAATAAATAGACAGAGAAAATGAAATAGGCAAGAGGGCAGACAGATAGACAGACAGAAAGAGAGACATACAAATACGCAAGATGACAGACAGACAGACAGACAGATAGATAGACAGACATTATAGAGAGCATACAGACAAGTAGGCAAAGGGCAGGCAGAAAGACAAACAGATAAATTTGCAATGGGTAGACATGCAGACAGACATGCAGACAGACAGACAGACAGACAGACAAACAGACATAAACAGACATACAAACAGACAAGTAGGTAAAAGGGCACACAGACAGACAGACAGACAGACGGACAGACAGACAGACAGACAGACAGACAGACAGACAGACAGACAGACAAGACAGACAAGACAGACAAACAGGCAAATAGGCAAAAGGGCAGACAGACATCAGACAAACAGACACATAAACAGACAAGACAGATATTCATATACACAAATAAACAGGCACACACACAAACACACACACAAACAAACAAACAAACAGACACACAAACAGACACACTCACCAAAAGCCTCCCTCCCCGCGTTGCTGCCATTACTGTCCTCGCTGCTCTCTATCACTTCCGGTTTGCTCGAGTGACCTTGACCCCGTTCCGGCGGCGACCGGTCGGCCATCTTGATGACGCTGTACCTTAGCAAAGGTCAGCTGAAGTCACATATACACTGAGGCATGGGGCACGCCCCCTTTCGTACGTCACTTCCTTTCTGTATGTTGCGATCAGACTCCGCTGATAGAAATTCCCACCACAACCCTGTCGTTTGCTGCACTTCACACAATGTTGGGTCCCTAGAATTCCACGGAAAATATTATAATAATATATAACAATTATTATATATAACATAAAACGGAGCTTTCGCTACAATATGATCTTGCCGCGCGGGCTATACAAACAGTCATATACGCACACGGAAACATCTGAAAGGGCCCTAAAAACGGTTATGGACTGATGTTATAAAACCCACAAAGAATTCATTAAACGCATAAAATTATATTATACCCAAAAAATTATAAATAAAAATAAAATATATGATGACGTTATATTTTCTTCTATGTCCGTCGTCAGCTGTTATTCATCATGGCAACCGATATACGATAATCCGTCACTGGAAATAGCTGCTAATCCGATACTCCGAGACCCATTAGGAGGGACAGGCGATGAAAGCGACGTAAAAATCCGCACAAAGTAAGATCGGGAATCCCACTAGACTGGTTATGACACGCACAATACAAAACTCATAGTGAGAGCGTAGAAAATCTGAGGGAAAAAAAATAATGATAATGATAATAATGATAATAATGATAATAATTATAAAAATGATAATTACTCTTAC